GCATGCTCATTGCCACTTTCCGCGCAGTCATTTTGTCCTCCTCCATCGTGCACAAAGTTTGTGCCCTGCAGAACAGCGCTGAGGCTATCCCAGAGTAAACCTGTTTCGGATGACCCGAAGTGTAGTGGAGTACGCCGTCAGTATCTGTTGGCTTGCGATATGTTGTCGTCCTTAAATTTCCCCCATTCCCGTGAACCAAGCAGTTCAGAAATGGTATTGTGACGCAACAAGATTCCAGCTCAATGGTAAACTGTATCCTCTCATCAGTGGAGTTGAAGTGATCAAGCAAGTCGTCCTTCTTATCCCGTTTAACCAGTACAAAGGTGTCGTCTACATAACGCCACCAAACTTTTGATGAGTTAATAGTGCTTGTTAACGCCCTGTTCTCGAAGTCTTCCACATACAAGTTCGCCACTACAGGGGATATTGGCGATGTCATGGTGAGACCTTGTTAAGTCACACTGTCATACCATCGATTAAATGGCTAACCGTAAGTTTTGTTTGATTACTCAGTGACGGCCTCATTTAAATAACGTCTTGATACTCCTAGCGGCTCTTCTCTGGGTACATTGGTGAACAGTGATATCACAACGAAGCTTACCATCAACTCATCTGGCTCGAGTTCGAGACACGCTATTTTTGAGGGAACTCATAAGCTTTTTTGACGTATGTACTCGTTCGCCCAGTTAGAGGCTGCAATAGCCTTGCCAAATATTTAGCGAGTTCATGGGTCGGGGAGCCTATACCGTCGACTACGGGTCGTACGCGAATTTCGGGTTTGCGAACTTTTGCAAGCAATCAACCCTCGGTGGTAAAGTCCATTTTGGGTACAGGCTGTACTACCTGCCCCTAAATCGTCCTTCACCGTTCTTAAATATTTACCAACCTCCGTTTACTCTTGTTCATTACTGACGCCACGGTCTTATCAAGAACTACTGTTTATGGACCGGTCTCCAAATGTGGTCCCATTTTTTTCCAAATATTCTGGCCTAATCATTACAACCAGGGTTTTCCCTTGTCCGCCTCTGTAAGTAGAATGCTGCGATCTTCCTTTAAGGAATTTAATGCGATATGTTCCGTTTGCGGAAGACTTGACTCACCCGGTTGCTGAAACTTAATGATATTTACTAACTATGCATGAATACCCTGTCTTCGCAGCGGGAAACTTTGTCACCGCTTGGGACAATTTCTTCCACATATATCATGGATTTATTGACGGTAAATGTCAAACCTTTATCCAACAATCTACATTCCGTTTCATACAAAACCCTAGATGACATATTAACTACATTACAATAGCTATCAATAGACCCAGACCTGTCAGTAGGGCCGGTGGCATTAGGATGCACATACATTAAGCGCTCAAATTTACGCAATTTGACATCTGAAGCCTTAATGAAGATTCGGTTGTAGTCGAGGCGCTATGGCGGGCTTCAGTTACAGGCTCAGCCGATTCGCGTCGATGCGGATCTCGCTTAAACGCTTGGTCACTAGGTAAATCCGCTGTCTCAAAAAGGCCTTGGAAGCATTAAGTGCAATCCTTGCAGAGGTGTAGGTACTGTCCGGAGTTTCAACGTGAGACATTTGAGGATCAGGTTACTCTTAAGACATATCATGTTGAAAACGTGACTATTCTCCCAGTCCGCTTCAAGACCCGCAAATCGAACGAATTCAATTGAAAGTTTTCGAACACCAGGTCTGTATTTGGTTTCAAATTCTTGGAAGATACTTAGAATCGATCGAGTAGCCTTGAGTCCAGAAACGTTTGGGAACAATCGGTTGGTATAGTGGTTTGATAACCTTTCGAGCTTGACACAAGAGTCTCGTCAGACCAGGTGAATCAGTGTACAATTGGAGTGGAATTTTTTGCGAACAGGGGCGATAACCGCGTTACCCGAGACTTTAGTCAAGGTATCATTACAGTCACAGTTCGTGATGTCACCTCAGGTCGTTCAATCACAGTGGGAATAGTCCAGGTGTTCCTTTGTGCGTCATGGCATTGACGGATAAGCCCATATTGTAGGCAATGGGAGGCATTTTGCAGTTTTCAATCCGATCAACGTTTCTAAACCTCTCTGAACTCATGACTACACGATCCAGTTCCAAGTAACTTCTAAGCAATTGAAACCTGTATTTGATTCGGTAGGTATATCGCCTTGCACATTCAGCAGCGTCATTGGTTTCTTTGAATTTACGGACTGAATTTCATCGAGTTCGGATTACTATTCCGAGTATTCGTCCTGAAGGCGTTTTGGTCATTGTTGTATGCAGCGTGGTTCTGTTTGTAGTTTCTAGGGATTTTCGCACACTGCTTCAAAAATGGGTCCGTTATCATTATGTATTCCGGTAACCCATAAATCGTAAAAAGATGCTGCATAAACTCAAGAATGACACATGTACTTACGTCACGACAAAGGATAACACCTAGCCATTTGCTATAAAAGCGGGTGCTGCAAGTGTTATTACTTCATCAGAGGATTTGTTTGGTTGCCACGTGATTTTACAGTAAATGGACATGAGGTAAGTACGGCAGATTAACGAAGGATAAAACAGAATCCCAAGGAGTGAAAATCGTGCGTAGACGTAAAACCTCGAGGTCGATGTGACCGAATGAGGAAATATTATGACGTTGGTAGGATGAATGAAGATGATGATTCGGTCCAAGGCCCCTATTCGGTCACCATATTGATATGGCGGTCTTGAGACTGAGATGCCCAATTAAGATGAGACTGTGATAAATCTTGGAAAAAGGGACATGGAAATTCGGTCAGTTTTCATTTTTTGGCTTCCCTGTTAATAGTGAAGCTTTTTTATGTGTGACCGAGAGTTAACACGGACATTACATTAAACGCCCTTTGGTCCCTTCGGATAAACCCCCGTTTTGAAAAATTGCATAGCTTTTGGAACTGATAAATTGATCTATCTGTGCACGGAACATGCGAGGAGATGCGCATGATCAGTGTAGTGGGGAGACAATTCCAAATAGATGCATACTTAATGAAGCAAACTATTACACGTATGTTGATGCGCGACTTGAAACTAGCCGTGTGGATTGTTTATTACGAATGGGGTAGCATTATGTTGTAGTTGGAGGTAGTGTCCAAGTGTATGAATGCGCCTATGAATTACGTAGAAAGTTGGCGATATGTCTAGCATTATCACAAGCAGCCATATAGGGTCTATTAGCAGCAGTTTGTGGCGTTCAGAGTGTCAGTGTCTGAGTAGAGCAGGGATATGTCGTGTGAAATCACGCTGAGCGCACTCTTGTACAAGTGTCACTGTCTCACATTGTCGAATACCATAGAGCAACACTCCACCAGTCGGCGTGTACAAGTCTTGTACAGTATAGGTTGGGCACTTGTTAAGGTAAAGTGATAATGAATGTTTTCCTGGATTTAGCGGCGGTGAATGTGCATATTAGAGGTTAAGGCTGTTGGAATAGCGAAGCCCTAAGTCTCTTACTTGGTTACCATGTGCAAGAGGTTTACAGAATAATGTTCGTAGTTTGGAATTTACATCACGTCTGTATGAAATGGTATTAGTTTTTCGACGGAGAAACTCATCGTGAGGTGCAACACCATCCTTTAAGTGCATTCAGATCGGTTTGTAGGTAGCGAACCATAGACTCCCGGTCCCGGGGTGCAAATGTGCACACAACCGTTATTTCATGCGTACACATGTGGGGCATAATATAGACAAGAATGTCAATTGTGTACATCATGAAGAAAAGTGGTCAGAGAACACAGCTGAATTACGCCAGTTGTGACGGGGGCGCGGCATGAAATGATTACCTATGTTGACGGCTTGGGTTCTATCGGTAAAAGTATCTTCAGCAGTATGCCGGTACTGCGTACCGGCGCTTCGTTACCGCCCAATCAGGGGATAAAGGTACTGTGAGAGTAGTCCGGTCCCCCAGGAAGGCTCGAACCTGCGACCTCAGATTACAAGGCAGGCTTTTGATGCTTAAGTCCACAGGCCAGTAAGTTATGAAGAGAACCAAAAGAGGATCGGCAATGCCGTACCCTACTTAAGGCGTCAAAAGTTTAATATGGCGCATTTGGTCAGAGACCTTTGAATTTCAAGTAACAAAATATAAGCTTTACCACCGTATATTACGCGGCGGAGGATTTGAAGTTTCCTAGCTCACAGAAAAGTATTCATATTCTGTTTTTATTTACGGAAAGACTAAGAGGCCATAGTGGTTAAGGAAGTTGTGGATCTTGTATGTGATCACGCACTGCGTTGTGATGGCGATTTACATCCGAGTAAGCATCGGTCACTCCTTGCTGGAGACATTTTATATGTTAGATGATTGCAAAACTACACTCCGTTGCCTGATTCGGTCCTTGATCGATCGCTTCGGACTTCAAACAATAATGCACGATGCATTTCAGACATGCCAGTTGACTGTGTTGTTCGCGGGAGCCTAGCGGCTGTCAGCAAGAGACGCAACTTCGAATCCTCCACACAACAACCGCACTCAAGCATGGGCAAAGTGGCTATGGAGCGCAAAACTGCCTTACGAGAAATCGGCCTGCTATCATGCTTAATGTGGTGGAACAAACTGGTTATCATAATCTACCAGACCATTCGTCGGGGTAGTGTGAGTACGCCTTATGGGGCAAAGTAGAAAATGTAGGCTCAAATGAAACCAACAGAAATGCGCTGGATCATCAGAATAGTCAAAACATAGACCGTTGAAAGTCGAATTGAGGTTTCTCTAAGCATAAGAACCAATTGCGTCATAACCGTCTACTTTTGGGTTAGGAAAACAAAATGTAGTGCATGGATTAGCACAACTTGAAGTCAATCGGCTACTTTGGACGCAATGGTACGACAATTCAAAACAGGTAATTCATCATACTGAGTGATCCGCTGTAGTTTGAGGAGCGAGCGATGATGTAGCGCAAATCTGCAACGAATAAGAGCACAATGTCTTCATTTACCAAGCTAGAGTCGAGCTCGAGTGTGACATTACTCAGGAAAGAAAACAAACAATTGCAGAAAAAATGTATCTATCGATTTTATCACGTTTTCGCCTTTATTTACATAGGGCTAGTTAACGTGTTAGTGCAGTTTAATTATCCAGATCAATGCGATGCCAGATAATCACCGAGCCGAGTTCATCGCCAGATGCTAGTATGCCTTCATCCCAACCGATGGCCACGTCCAATACAGCTGTCGTGTGACCGCGAAGAACAGTAGACAGTATAGAAGATGAAGGGCTGGTATACATCTGCTTGTCGAAGATGTTGAAGATGTACACATTGGAATCTTCGCTCGCAGTCACAGCACAAGCACCGGAGCGGAAAGATAACAATGGTGCGAAACATGAGTGTAACAAACGAAGTCCCGAACGAGTAGCCGGATCAGGTGGGTGATGAACAAGAGGAAACTGGCGTCTAGAGCTAAGGATTCCAGTCGATGGAGTTATTCTGAAAAGCAACAAACCCAGACCAGCTGCATTAGCAAGTAAAAAAGAATCACTCGTCTCACGAGAAAGCCAGGAGTAAACTGATAAGCAGGTGACACTAGAAAATTGAGCGAATTTTTCCGTGACATTAGAAGAGGGGAGTTTAAGACGGAATCCAGATAGTTTCTGTATTTCGGAAAGCCCCAATGTAGAGAGACGGACAACGAACGACGATGAGGACCCAAAGTCAGAGCCACTATCCGTAGTTGATGCGATGGGAATTGCGCAATGGCGCCCAATGTGATGCCTATGAGCGCGTGTGAGGCGACCGGTCGATGGTTGGCAAATGTACGACTGTATAATTCCGCGATCAGTACCGACCCACAGACACGTGCCAAAAGCCGCCTCAAATGCGAGGGCAGTGACGCATCCTTGACCGTAGCTCGTAAAATTCAACACCCCAGTTAATTTGTGAGTTTGAAAACTAGTAGAATGTACTTGATCTCTTCCCTTTTTGATTGGCTTCCCAGTCGACAGATTCATGGTCTGATAAAAAAGACGGGTAAAGAAATGGAACATAGTCACATGTTAGGTTCGAAATGATTTGCAACCTTTCTACTGGACGATTTTACTTCACTGTTTCTGCACATTGTGAAATTCGTTGAACAAAAATATGCAAGTTGGTTATACGAGTAGTAAATGAAACACTAGCATGCACATCACTCAAGGTAGAGGATCTGCTTGAAAAAGTACTGACCTGAATTACACCCCAAGCCCCTCCTACGACCAGTAAATTGTAGTTTTGGGGTTGAAACCCGCACACCAAGACAGGCCCGACTTGTAACGACTGAGTGGAGTAGTGTCTAGCCAATATTCCACTCGAAGTGTTCCACATACACACTGTTCCGTCTACACTGGTGCTGGCCAGGAAGTCATTGGACAGCGACCATACGACGTCGGTCACAGCAGCCTGGCGTTGATGGCCACCGGTGAGAATGTGTATAACCTGTTTGGGGACATCAGGAGGCCACGCACAGCAAATCGAGATGGTTCCGTCGGCTGAGGCGATGGCCAAACGTGTATTGTCATTGTTTGCAAATCTGAGACGGTTGATGGCCCCTGTACGAGGCAGAAGGACAAAAAGAAAAGCAATTGCTGTCCAACCATGTGGCAAGCGATAAAAAACACCACAGCTATGTCAAAATCAACCTCCATCTATTAGAGTATCGCTTGATGGTATGAGTAGTAGAAACATGACTGGCTAGGAGGGTATTGGGAATGCTCAAACTCTCATGTATCCAGGCATAATGATAAGAGTTCCTTGTGTTGAGGAAAAACTTAAAGAGCGTGTGACTTTGATCGCAGTTGTGTTCGAGAAGCAGAGACGTTCGCAACCCGCAGAATCAAGCTGCAGAGTGAAAAGCAGTTGCTTGTACATGAGTGAGTGTGTTTACAGTGTTCACAAGGTTATCTCGTCAGTTGGTGAGGGATCGCCCGTCACCAGATTGTGGTCACCTTCGCGGTGTTTAGAACCTTAACTGGTCCGCCGAGCAAACTAGACTGAACTATGGGATGAGGCAGAAACAGCAGTACTAAACATATTGGGCGTACCAATTTTCCACAAAACCGCAGCTTTCCGATGCAAATGTATCCTTCGTTTACGACTGACTCATTAGGATAAGAAATTTGCAATCATTTAAAGCTATCATCTGTTACCAAGAATTGCATGAATCGGATGATCCGAATGCTTTGCATCTTTGATTTTAAGATTACAGAATGTGCACTGTGATTACTTAACAGTCATGCGTTCAAATTGCTCCAACTTTCGAACAATTCCCAACTGATTGATTGGTGCTCACTGTGATTTAGTTCCGCTGGCAACTGTTCACCGGTCCTGTGTAGTTTGGTGCCCGGGTGCTGCACCGTTTGACGATTGAATCAGGGATGAGTGAAGGTATGAATGCAGTGACAAAGACAGGAATCTTGATTATTGAAGATGTAAACTGGGAGCCATTATCAGACACCAAGACATCGAAGCCTGGATGCTAATAGCCCAAACGCACCATTGGGGAGCTCAAAACCACGCACTAATTCATCCAATTCGTGTTAACAGAATTGCTGGGGACTGATGATAATTCGTTATAGGCTGGAGAGTATTCATAAGTAAATTGGGTCCTCACTGAAGAAGCAAAACCTTTAAATAAGGGAACTGGAAGCTCCTCAAAGTGTGGAATGAGTCAAATTGCAAATAATAGGAGATCTTATGGCGATTATTGCTCTCATAGCTTTGGTATCAACCATGCAAACATAGCAGTTTGCAATGTGAATTGTAGGTTATCACAAAACCTTGTTAAGTGCAAATGGTAGATCTTTGTATGTGCAATTCCTCGCAATGGTGGCACACGATGTAAGGTACCACTGTTTGTCTTAGCCACTAACGAAGTGATGAACAATGAACAATGATTTATAACGGGTAAAAAAGCAGGTGCTTGACATGTTCCGTAGGGTGGTTAGAGTGAGAAAAAAGATAGCGAAGGGATAATTGAGTCGTCAGTTCGGGCTGCACTGCCGTATACAGGGTTTGAAATTAGAATGTGCGCACACAAAACCATAAGATGAGTGGACATTGATTAGGCAATAGGCGAGAAAAATAGTTAAAAATAGCAAGGACAACGATCACTCGTGTGCAGCTATCTTGGGTGGACAAGATGCAGAAAACCAGTTTCTACCGTAGTAGCGTCTATAAAATTATGTGCAAGGGGTTTGGAGTGACTCATTCTCGAGTAGGGTTATGGCACTGTAAACTGTCTGTTGTGCATTAGCGGCAGCATCTGGTGGTCATGGGCTATAACACGTAGTGTAAATGAGACAGAGTTTCGTCAAGAGGTTTTTTGAAAAGAGATAGGGTGGGAGCATTAATTACATGTTCCGGGAGGGCGTTCCAAGGCTGTGTCACTCGAAGGGAGAAAAAGTTTCGCCGACATTCCAGTCGGCTGTGCTGTGTGACCAGCTTAAACTGATGAACTCTTAGCAGGGTGTTTCGACTGAGTACCAGAAGGAAATGGCATGGGTGCTTGGGGTTTCTCAGAATCTGGTACACCATTATGGGATCGCCCCTTAGACGACAATAACGTCCACTGTATATTTTGAGAGTCTTTAGCATGAGTGTGTAGGGGAGGTTGGTCAAATCTCAGACGCTCTTCGCTGCTCTACGTTGTGCAGTATCGAGCGCGGTGAGATGGTGCTTGAGTCAGGGTTGCCAAGCTTGAATATATTATTCTGCGTGCAGCCTCACGTACGCACTAAGCATTTTTGGAAAGATCGAAGGGTCAAAATTCCCGAAAGCTCTGCGAAGAAGGCCGAAGTGCTGGTTTGCTTTCTTACCTGCCTTTTCAGTCTGCCTCAAACAACCGAGATCATCTTGAACTAGCACATCGAGATCGCACTAGTGAGAAGCCAGCTGTAGAATATGTGGTCCTAGGCGGTACTTGTGCATACTCTTGTGCCGTATTCTGAGAACTTTGCACTTGGTGACGTTGAAATGTAGCATGTTCTCGATGGACCTTATGTACGCTTTGTTCAGATCCTCCTGTAACGCTGTGTGATCCTCCACTGCAGCTATAGTACGCCATACCTTTAGATCATCAGCAAATAGCAAACAGACAGAAGATAGCACACTCACGAGATCATTTATGAAAACCGGAAACAGGCGGTGTCCAAGTACTGAGCCTTGACGTACGCCGCATTGAACTTCGATGGATTCCGACAGGTTGCTTCGAACCCTCAGATTCAGGTGACGTTGTACGAGAAAGTCTCCTATCCAGCCCAGAACAGGGTCACCGATTCCATATTTCTGGGGTTTGTAGAGTAAAATGCGATGGTCTACATGGTCGAATGCCTTTAAGAAGTCAAAGTATGCCGTGTCGACTACTACACCAGCGTCCACAGACTCTGCCCAGTTTGCACGAGCAATCAACAGATTAGTGGTATAGGACCGATTTTGGCGAAATCCATGGTTTCGGAACGAGAATTTTGTTGTTCTCCAGGTACTCCATCAAAGCCTCGGCTACAATAGACTCCATAACCTTGGAGATCACAGGAAGTAGTGTTATCGGGCGAAAATTTGCAGGTTCTGTACAGCTGCCAGTTTTGTAGATTGGTGTGATGATTCCGTGCTTCCACATCGTACGTCCATCGCAATGAGGCTGGACCTTACCATCGCAATGAGGCTGGACCTTACCGTGGTGCGATGGTTTGTGTGCCTCAGCGATCCATTGAGATACGCTGGGTGGTGCTTTTGCACCTTCAGAGTCACTCATACCAGATTGGTCAATGGTTAGAGGCCAGACAAACTCAGCCTCCTGGTCCTCCAGGTTAGGGGTTGGAATGAGGGTGGCTCCTTATTCCTTAAAATGGACTCCTTGTAGCCCAACGCCAAACCCGCTGCCTTGCGGTCTGGTTTTTGAACCAAAGGCTTTGGTTGAGAACCCTAATCGTTCTCCTGTCTAGGCCTGGGCAACCTGACAGTATCCTGCCCACGCAATACTATGAATTTTCCTTCAAACAATTTCTTGATGCTCTGGCCACCGCAGAGGATAATCAACGGTGCCCTATCTGCTGCATCGAGCAGGGTGAATAGGGGTTTGGATGCTACTGCTCAAGCCTTCCCGTCTTCTTATTCCCCCTCTTACGCTTTTTCACTCTTACCGTCCCATTCCAACTTCACTTATATCCCCCCAGTTTTCAACCCCCCGATTCTTGGCCCTCCCCCAACATGCTTTGCTAGGCATTTATCTTCTAATTTCAACTCACACGTGAACGCGGAGCGTCACTCCTCTCCTGTCGACAAGCCCATGTCCAACCAAGCGGTCCAAACTAGTTCATCGGCTTCCATTTGGAGCCCTCGATCCTCCTTCAGATTGGCATGCCTCAATGTACGCACACTGCTACAAATCGGTCAACAGGCAGCACTTGCCCGAACATTGGAGACCCTCTCGATCGATATCTGCTGCTTATCAGAGACTCGCCTGCAAGACTCGAGCACTGTGCTCACTCTGCGATCCCCTTCAGGGGACGCAAGCAGTATTTTCTCCTTGCGCCTATCCGGTGACGGTACAGCTTCGAGCACCGGCCAAGCCGGTGTTGGTATTGACCTGAGTCCCCGGGCTGAAGCTGCTCTGGTTGATTGGATTCCAATCAGTAGCCGGATGTGTGCGGTCCGATTGGCTGGCTCGTTCAAAGCTTCGAAGTCACGTGGGACCAACAGGTGTCTATTCATCATCGCTGCCTATGCGCTCACAAACTGTAGCGATGATTCGGTAAAGAACGACTTCTACCGCCAACTGACCCAGCTCCTTCGCCACAGAAGAAGCACGGACACTGTTGTGCTGGCGGGGGATCTGAACGCACAAGTTGGAAAGCTGTCCACTGATGAACTGCATCTGGGCGGTCAACACGGTGTAGGCTCCCGTAATGATAACCGTGAGCGGTTACTTCATTCGTGTGAAGATGCTCGCTTATTTCTTGCGAGCACTAATTTCCGACACAGCACCCGCCGAAGGGTGACTTGGCGCCCACCAACCTCGAAGCAGCCTTGCACGCAGATCGATCACATTGCTATCAGTTACCGATGGAGAGGCTGCATCCAGAATTGTCGCTCGATTTGGAGCACTTGTGTGGACACCGATCATGCACTTGTATGTGCTGACATGCGGATGCGTTTTGGCGGACGCCCACGACGACGCTGTGAGCGTATTGACACCAGCCAACTGACAAAACCAGCTGTTCTGAATGCGTATCGAAGTACGCTGACATGCCAGTTGAGTAATCCCTCACTGGAGACAATTGGTGGTCACTGGTCACATGTTCGCCAGACCTTACTAGCAGCAGGCAAATCCTCATGTGGTATGTCTAATAGACAACATGGACATTGGGTCTCTTCGCAGTCTCTGGAACTTATAGATGCTCGCCGGCAAATCCCGGCTGGAAGCGAGCACAATGAAACTCGCAAAGAGCTCCGGGCAAAACTCCGTGCTAGCCTGAAGAGAGACCGCGAATCTTGGTGGTCTCATCGTGCGTCAGAGATGGAAGTGGCCGCTGCCCTTGGCAACCATCGTAAG